TGATTAAGTGTAGCCTGTACTGTTGTTTCCGCATTGTTTTCAGGGTTTCAGCCGTGAACCAGCTCAGGCTACCACTTGATGCGTCCAAAACAGGACGAAACCGCGGCCGTGGTGCGCCAGTATTGGGAAAAACAACACCGAAATATTTCCGTTTCGAATATGGCCCTTGCGGTCGGAATGACTGAGGTCTACCTCAAACTGATCCGAGCCCCCAATAGTAGTTGCGTGTCACAATCCAACCACAGCGAGTTCTTCAAGCCTAACTTTGACAACCGGTGCTACTTTGTAGATGCGAAAACTGGCCACTTCACCTCAAAGATATTAAGTGTTCGGTCTTTTTTGAGCATTGGTGTAGTACAAAAGTTCACCAGCTGGTGTTTGGAAAAAGCCCTATAGGGCTTCATTGAAGTGTCTGTTAACGTTGATCCGTCTACTTTGGTTCCAGCATGTCCTCCGAATGACCCTCGACCACCGACCTCCGCACATTATCACTGCTGATAGATGTGGGATTCCCTGGGGGGGGGGGCTGGCCAATCGATCATATAGCAGAACGACACGCGAAGAGCTTGTTTGAGAAACACTATCTTTGATGGAGACCTCGAGATGGGCCACATCATTCGTTAGGTTTCTCATCTAGCATAACCCTCTCACATGCAGTCTCTTGCATTCAACTTTTGACGTTCCATCTCAGTTACTATCACTCACTTCTTTCTTGACTCCCTTCGTACTCATTATACATCCTGCCTCATTTTTCTCACCATCGTTACTGTTGTCGTGGCAGTGCGGTCGTGGCAACTGGATGCATTGCACTTCCGTTCCCGAATCACAGCTGTGTTCAGTCGAACATAGCTGGTTTTCCTTACCTTGCCTCCGATTACTTCGCGCCCATTAGAATGGGAACTAGTGTACTCACTGTCTTGTGTTGTGATTTTTGCATGCACATCAGCTGTCGCACTCTCTAGCCAGCCGGTCGTTGGGCCCACAATTACATCCATATTCAACTGACTATCAGCACACTATTAGGTGCACTGTGGTTCTTACCTTCAGCTAACTTGCAATGATGATGATGACACCACGACGTAAGTAAATACTTACGTTATCCAGCGATCACCAGTTCAGACTCATTTATTGATCTTTCGGTATCCGTTGCTTGGGAACAAGCACGCTTTTTGCTTCGTAACGATCTACTCCTGTCATGCTTATCATAATTCGCTGTGCCCAATGGTACAACCATTTGTATCATAAAAGATTTTATCAATGTCTGAAGACAGCGAACTGCATCTGGTTCCAAATCCATTGGACACATTGCAGTGCCGCTGTGCACATTCACGTCGCGTTCCATTTGCCATACCAGCGGCTTTGCCCGCACATCTCCCCCTGTCTAGCCCCAGCCCAAAGCATTAACACGGAAGGACATGTGCTTAATGGCCTGATGTGTGCCACGAATCCCGGATATCTGACTCATTCACACGTTATATCCGTTTCACAATCCATCGCAACGCTTGGCCACTCGGTATCCCATTCCAATAGCTGTCGTTCATGCCAGTACGCCTCATTCGTCATAAACGCTTACCACTTACATGGGCGACTGTGGTCACTTTGGTCGAAGCACTGCTCTGCGCACTGTGCTTACCATTATCTGCATCGTCTAATGTCATCAATCTCCAGTGGGTTTCTCACAACTTGCTAACCTGCCGACACGCATCATAATAACACGAACAGACGCACATCGATTATTTCACAGCCTTAGCAAGTTCGTATTTTATTTCGTTCATCAAGCGTAGTGAGTCTAAGGGTTTTACACTCGTCGCGATTGTGTTAAACTCAGTCACTCCCTACTTAGTTGTCACTTTGTGCTGTGGCCTTATTTGTATATTCGTTTAACAAAGCCTTTTTTTGCTACGTTACTCGGGAAGATGGCTCTCGATGTCGAGACGTATGTTATCTTTCTTCACATCCACACTCATTCATAACTGAGACACATATTAGTTTATCAATGTTTGCTCTGGGCTCTTTTCTTACTTGGACAGTTGTCGTGATCCGCTTCAACATACTGCTGATCACCTCTCATCTTTACACATCATGTCGTTTTATTGTAACTTTGTTATGGTTGTACTACAAACACCCATCCTTATAGATGCCGGCTGAACTCAAGCGGCCCGGATTTTTTCGGTTAAAAATATCACCAGCTGTCCACCATTGGTATTTGTCCATTTCTGATATAAACTATTCTCCGAGCGATTGATTTGCGACACCCAATGTTAAATTGGGCCGTTTATGGTTGATGTTTGTGCAAATCGTATCTGCCATAGTAATTTTGACCGTACTCAACTTTAATGACACCGTTTACTCTCTACACAACATTACCATCATGCTCCACTACAAATCTATTTTAATGAGAACAATCTATGAGCTGTTTATCTACGGACAAATCTGCATTTAATCTTCATGTTATCTTTTGGCAGACAGGAATAACTGGTATGCGCTTGCTTGGCAACCCAGTCACATTGCGATCTCAGACCCCCTGTCTTACAGAATTTTCTGTCGCTAAGCACTAACTCTGACGCCGTTTTTCCTCAAGGAGTGATATTCTACCAAGCGCGCGCACTAATTCACTTGTATCACGTGTTGTAATTTGACTCCTCCTACATCTGAACTTTCTTATTGTCGAACTAGACACCTGTTTGGTTATCCGGATCCGGATTATTGCTTGCAATCATCAGTTATAAACTAGCTTGTTTACACTTGTCCATTGTGAGCGGATCACGTTATGCACTCTAGGATGGAACTGCACTTCGTGCACCAGGTTTTCAAGCTTACTGAATTCGTATGGCTGCGACGTTCGATCTCGGGACAGCTGTAATTCATACCCCCGGTATTGTTGTTCGTGTAACAGTTGATTTCGTACGACTATGCTCGCTTTGTTATATCGACTAGCGAACCTATTTCTATGCGTCTTCAGTGGCAACATTCTTTCCACTTCATGGTCAACCCAATGCCTACTTGTAACGAAAGTATGGCATTCTCTACCGTCACCGCAAATATCTGGCAGTATACACAATGCGGGTTAATATTCTAACATACACCCGATCTCATCGCGGACGTGAGTCAGCAGCTCGACGTCAAGTGGCAAGTAGACACTTTCCGTCTACTCTCACAGTGGACCTTTGGATAACTGTCAAATGGCCTATTCTGATAGCGGAAATTGTTATTTTTAGCAGACTCAGTGCTATGCACTCGATCGCTGTTCGCAGCTGGGTGTTTAGTGTTCCCTGCTTCGGTACATTTATCCACCGGAAAATTACCACATGAAACTTTTGACGTGATTCATAGGGCCATTGGCAAGCAAGCGCTTTATAGCTGACCCGGAGTCCCTATATCGTATATACGTTCCAACTGTGGTTCATGGAATACCAACCTGCTGGTGACGAGGCGTACATGGTTGGTGGCAGTCAAGCACGAGAAATCTCTTGAGGTGATTTACATCGATTTCGGTAAAAAGTTCGATAACATGAACCATGAGGTCCTCCTCCACAGACTGAGGGTGTGCGGTGTTGGTGACACATTATATCGGTGGATCCGCGAGTTTCCCGTTGGATGAAACTGGAAAGCACCTGTCGATAGCCACCTGACCGACTGTTATCGTTCTACAACTGGTATGCCCCAATGCACGGGGCCTACATTGTTTGTAATCTACATCAACCATCTACTTCAGCCTCTTCGGTCTGCGAACATCGCAGACGATCTGAAGATGTGGAGAGTGATTAGCACCTCAGACGGCTACGACATACTTCATCAAAACTTCAACAACCTCTTTCTGTGGTGTGCATAAGTCAGCCTCCCGGTTTGCTCATTCAAATTAATATTCATGAGCCTGGGAAGGAATGGTGACCAAGACTGCCGTCCAACTGCTACATCCAACATCTCCCATGAAAGATATAGGCCTACTCCCACGTTTCAATTAGAAGTCTATGGACAACATGAACAAGCTATGTGGCAACGGACTGCGCATGCTTTGGGTGCTCAAAAGCAACTTCTGCATCTGATTAGAAGAGGTTGTCACTCTTCTTTTCTTCACCATAAGACCAATGCTAGAGTACCTTTCGCCCGCCTACTGTCCCAATACCGAGGCGATCAGCAGAAGACTGAACGAGTCTCACACATTGCTATTACTCTCATCCCCAGTTTGAGGACAAGTGTGAGAGGCTGGGACTATGCACCTTGGCCTATCGTCGGTTGCGAGTCCACCTCATCATGACCACCGCTCTACTTGCAGACCCTTGCAGCACACGCATACATCAATACAAGCTTGTGGTACCGGATATTAAACGAGTTCCCCACCCCCTGTGTGTCGATCGTCGGGTGGTCAGTCTGCCGAAGTATGTAGTAAAAGCAAACTCAGGACAGTGCTTCAAAACACTGTTGGGTACACGTTTCCTTGATGTTAGATTCCTAGGAAGATTACCCACTCACAATGATATTCCACATTTTTGAGTCAGTTTATTGAGTTATACGTTTTTGACCATGTCAGTGAGGAACTTGAAAACGATCAGTGTTTTCTGTTTTTAACCCCTATGAGTTGTGTAGATTCAAATTTCTACTTGATCCCATAATACAATGTTCTCTCTGGAAGATCGGGGACTCTCTCACGACATCCATATCCTCTCACATCTTTGTTATTTTAAATCCTTATTTTGTGGACTACTTTTTGTCGGCTTTCTTCTTTGGTTTACTGAGCTGGATTCATTCTCCGTTGTCATACTGCCACAGACAGTTAATCCTATGTATTTCTCCTCCAATCGGCACTGTGGACAGATGCTTAGCATTTATATTTCTCTGCGCGATCGATCCATCGGCATTTACTTGTTTTTATCCAGTCTTGTGGTTCCTTCATCTCAAACTACACTTTTTGCCCCTATATTCCACCCGCTGCAAATAGTTTTGGCCTCATTTTCCATGGCACACCATTCATTTCCTCATACTACTTTGTTTATCTTTCAGCTTTATACCAAATCTGCATCAGATGCAGCAGTGTTTTTGCACTTGCGCACATATTCGTTCCGCACCCGTGGATGCTCATAAACTTCCGGTAAGTGTGTGCTTTGTGTCAGACGTCCTCCGCGACCTACGCCGCCGTTTTATCCGTTCGTCGTACATGTTCGTTTGTGACGCCCCTGACTCATCTATTGTGGGTCTCTTTGTGATACGTTGGGGACTGGTTTTCAGACACATGAACTTCACTTCCCGCCAGGTTGTCAATATCGACGGACATGCTTGCCAAGGCAGATTATCGATTGCGGATTCTTATGGGCAGATTGTCCAATCAATTGTTGTACCTGCCTGCTGAATGCATTAATTTCATCTGCAGACACCTTGGACTGTTGGTGGTTCAGCCACGTTAGCGTTCATTCAACTACGTGGTCGTGATCTGTCTTGTTTGTGTGACAAATCTCATTTTCACTTCATCTTTGTGTAGTACTTATGCAGGTTCTAACACGTCTTCTATCGAGCTATCTCTAATGCGGGCAACCGGTAAGCAAACACTCAAATTCGTGCTCTCATCAGTAGTCCACGTGACTTATTTACCAAATGGGGTCCGCCATCTAGTATCCTTCTCATGACCATTGTTGCCGTACTTTCTTGTTATATGTGATCGCTTGGCAGCCTTTAACCGCAGCGAGGGGAGAAATTGAAAGCCGTCTCTTGCCCATGCCAGTCCCGCTTCTTAGTCTTATTGGTTGAATTAGGTTAGGTGACTTCATATCTGATCTCATTCGGCCTTCCGGGTGTCTGCTAAATTTGTCTCACTTCAATAATATCATAATGTCACTATGATTTGAAAATTTTCGGATCTGCTCTCTCCCAACAATGAGCGACAAAGACTTATTTTTTACACATGTTTCCTTCAACGGGGATTCCGATCGATTAAGCGGGTCATTATCATGGTCGCAAGCGCTAGCCTGGCGTACCGGTTTACGGTGCGTTGCAATGTGCGACTAACGTAACATTTCACAACTGCTCGTAAAAGGTTCACATGTTCCCAAAATTCCACTATGCATAGTTCCGGCATCTGCGTCTAGAGTACGGACGGCACAATATATGCACTATCGCACTTCTCTGCTCTAACTACTGCTCGGGGAGGAAATCAAGATCTTCAAGATCATCCCTAGATTATTAGTACGTTGTCCGGTTCTACAGATGGCCCAGTCCTTCTGTGAACTTCCGGATTGACGAAAAGGTCATACTTCTCATTAATTGTCCACAACGTACGTTCGGATGTTATCAGCTTTCTTTCAAGTAAATAAATTTTTATCCTCGACTAAGCGAGGTACGCGCGTGCCCAGACATGATGATGGAGAGTACAACAAATGATCAAGGAACATACAATAGTGTAATTGAATTGTCATATATGCTGACACATGAATGCATGTAGACGTGTGTATAACTGTGTCGCTGCACCTTTGCTTGTGCTTTTACGTGCCGCCATTGCTAAACGGATGTTTGACGTTCTTGGATTTGAAACGATTGTACGTAGATGCAAGGGACGGTGACTTCATTTGGTGGCGAGTCACAACCGCCGCGTCACAGTATTGTTAAACGGACATTTGTGGCTTTTTCTAGGGGCACGCTTAACAGGCGAAAACCCATTACATGAAACGCTTCCACCGAACTATTTGCTGGAACGGGTAACCCTGAACTACCCAGCTGTCACCGCGGAGAGGCTATCCAGTCTCTGTGTCTGCGAAAGTAGGCAGCTCAGATTCGCGCTCTTATACCAAATAAGAAACTGCATCACTGATGTCGTTCTACAATATGGGAGTTCGTCTGGTAACTCAAGTGGCAATTATTACCATATACAACAAGGATGAGCGCACCGAATAGACTGAGACTGTATTTAAGAGCAAGTAGAAAGGTTTCTGTACAACTCTATCGAATTACGAAAAATCAAAATTTACTTGTGAATTATCAGCAGTTGTGTCTGGTCCGTTAATCGTTTATCCGTGTTCGGTTAGAAATTTGTACTAGCGTCATTATTTCCGGACATACAATGTCTTCTTTTGGCACTGTATGTGCATCGTTTCACAAAAGCACAGGTTTCCAAAATAATCGTCGATACGGGTTTTAAAACACTTCACAGAATCGGCCACTATTAATCCTTCTGGTAGTGTATTCCATAAGTTTACGATTCTTCGTTCGATACAAAGCTGATGTGATACTTTGTTCATGCTGGGGACCCTGAGTTTGTAACGATGTCCTCGGGTGTTACATGGTTCTCGCAGGTGAAATATTGGCCGCAGTATGGGGAAGTGCTTCAAGTGTAGTACTCGATGGGTCATAATAAGATCAATTCTTACTCGGCGATAGGATAGTGTGTAGAGTCCGAGCTTTTCACAACGTTTTTCATATGGAAGCTTTCGTAGACTTGGTATCATTCTAGTTGTGATATGCTGTATTTTCTCCAGCTTTTCAGTTTCCCATTGGGTTATCGGATGGTAAGCTGGGGCACCGTATTCAAGGATTGGTCTAATGAGCGAGGTGAATAAACGAGGGACGGTTTCTTCGGACCATGTGGAGAAACTGCGTCGTAATGCCCAGAGCATACGAAGTCACGCACGGTACAATTTCTCTGTATTTTCTAGTGATCTTAAATCCTGTCGTGAGAGAACTCCTAAGTCTCTGACAGATGTGCTGGGATGGAGCAACTGGCCGCCCAAGGTGTATGATCGAGTGGCTGGACGTCTGGTGATACTGATGAACTCCGACTTGCTTGCGTTAAGAGGGAGTTGCATTTCAGTGGACCACGTTGACAGTCGCTCTAAGTCATGCTGGAGGCGAGCGCAGTCGTCCTGGTTTTCAATGATCCTCCAGATTTTCAAATCATCTGCAAACAGGACACATGGTGACTGGAGCTGCTGCGGAAGATCGTTGATATGAATAAGAAATAATGCTGGCCCAAGTACAGTTCCTTGAGGCACGCCACTGGTCGATGGGAACCAGTCTGTCAGATAGTCATTGACCTGTACTCTAAACCTTCGTCTCACAATAAACTCTTGTATCCACTGAAGTAACGTGCCACCGATTCCGTATGTCCTCAGTTTACGAAGGAGTACCTCGTGGTTCACTCTGTCAAACGCCTTACTAAAGTCGATGTACACCACGTCAACATCCTTCTGTTCATTGAGAGCTCGAACCCACTGGTGGTTTGCGTACATCAAGTTGGTGATGCAGGATCGCCCTTTCGTAAAGCCGTGTTGCGCTGGCGTCAATACGTCCATCGATTCGAAGAACGACAGCAGACACTTTTTCACAATCTTCTCGAGAACTTTGGATAGTACCGAAGTTAAACAGATCGGTCTATAGTTCTCTATTTTACTCGGATCACCACCCTTGGGAAGCGGTTTAACTATCGAGCATTTCCAGTCGTTCGGGACGGATCCTTCAGAGAGCGATCTATTGAAAAGGTTTGTCACAACTGGTGAGATGATAATCGATAGGGACTTGAGTATTAGTGGGTGAAGTCCGTCTGGCCCGGGGGGCTTTGCACCATTAAGGTTGACGAGTAGCTGATGTACTTTGTGTTGTGTCTGGATTTGACCTCCAACTAGGCTTTGTTCACTCCCGGCCAGTCATTGTTCTTCCTGCTCACCTGCACACAACACCTGATCTCTGTATGACACTATGCATACTTTTGTAGAACTTGGTCGATTCTTTTACGTCATTTTGCGTGACTGAGCTAACAGTGCGCTTTGACGGGCTAGATTCAATGAGCGACCGATCGATGGTAACCACTGAAACCTTCTCTGAACACCTCCGTGACAGTCTTTCACCCAAACGGTTTCGCTGATTAGTGGCGCTGTCAGTATGATCTCAAACTTGTTTGTTGTTCTGCTTTACTAGAACAACTGCCAGCTTCTGCCACAGCGAGAAACATCATTGCTCATAGGTTTAACACAACGGCTTCGAATTACGTTCCGATATATTAAAAACTCGGCGGACCTTTGCTAATCTTCGTCTCTTATGCTGTCGATATGACAGCACTGTCGCTTTAATGGCTTGAAAGCACAATGTTGCCTTCCGTTCACCCCCACTGTACGCTTATTAAATCTGGTATATCAGATCCACCCGTAACGAAACTTGTGTTCGACCACTGGTGCCGCGTACGGACACCGCATGAGCAGTGAGCGTGCTCACCGTTTTGTTCTTGGCGTAAGAAGCAAGTGGACCGCTCAGACTCTGATGACTCAGTCACGTATTACGCTATCAATCACATCAACTCTCGCGATGCACCGTAATGGCGCGTCAGAGATCTGGGTAGATAAATAGGATGAGAGTCCAGTCGATGAATTGATCAGGCGAAACGAAAGCTGTCATCTCAAAGTTGATCTCAGTTGGTGTCCTCCGACTGCTGGGTTTGTGCCAAAAAGACGATGAGCACGGTTGGCTAGATGCACTTAGTGACATAGGAAAGAGTCGACTTCAGTGGCATTTGTGATGCGACTCCCCGTCCCGCTTAGCCTTCGCCTCTAACGACGGTTTCCTTAATGATGCACAATAGAAACAAAGCAGAATACTACTAGTTTTATCCACCTGTCTTTTCTTTATAATCCGCCAATTGTTTTGTATGGCAGCACGATATCTGGGTTCGTTTCTCACTTCCGTCTGACGTGTGGTATGCGAATGAGAAATTGTGTTGTGGACTATTTGCCTCCCGGCTTTACTTCACCTGGCAAAATCGATCGTTTATGAGTCACTTTTCCAAAACCATTTCACGGTTTGAGTGTACAGCTGAAATTTCCTTTCACGTCTGTTCGGCGACCGGATCTCCACCAACCGTAGCAAAAGTCGTACGAATTTGATAGCGAATGACGCCATGCTAGACGACGATTACTCTGCGTCTCCACCTGTAACCTATGTCATGGACCTCGTAGCTACATGTTTTTCTCGTCACTCTCAACATCCATCGGCTTCTTACTTGTAATTAGAGATAGTATCTCAACCTAGAACTTCACTCTTTTGAACATCCGCTATTCAAGTTATTGCTTGCACGGCCGTCTGCAACACGATTGATGCATTCAGCTGACTACTCTC